CACTTTGTGATTTCTCTCCCTGGTACTGACCCGTGTGCCGAAAATGGCTGCTGCCGCCACTGCTGTTGGTAGTGCTGCTCTGAAAGGAGCCAGAGTTGTGCTGATAGCTATTGAAGTTTGGTGGTGGGAACGATTGCTGCGAATACCCCGTGGAGTACACAGGTTGGTAGTTGACTTGCTGGGGTATGACTGGTGGTGGGGGAGGATGTGGTACTGTTGGAGGAGGCATCATGTAAGGAAAGGTGCTTTGCCCAGCCGGAGTGCCTGGCACGGGAGCGTTGCTAGGATTTGGCACTGGTGGAGGAGCAGGAGGGAAGCACGGAGGCACTGGGAAGCTCTGCCTCATCTGGTGATTTGGAAAGGGTGGCCTCATGGGACACTGGCTGATGGGATTTTGCGTGGAAGGAGGCACTGGAGGAGGATAGGGCACAAAGTCTGGCCTGGGAGGCATGTAACCGGTGGCTGGAGGGTTTGAATAGGTTGTTGGAGGGGTCGTTTGCTGGTCATACTGGTATTGTACAGAGGGCTGTTGGGGGTGAAGCTGCCGTAGGTTCTGAGGGCGGTAGGTCTGTGTTGAAGTTCTTGCTCCTGGTCCCCCCTGACCACGGGGACATCCTCGCCCAGAATGGAAAGACATGGCTCACCTTTAATGAGGAAAATAAAAGTCCAGCATCACACAATTTTTGTAGGATGTCCTCAATGCATTTGCAGAAACTACTCACAAAGAGCTGAAGTTAGTTTCTGCAAGTTTCCTTCAGCAGAAGCAGTGAACGATGCCCACTGACTGTCACTGACTTGCACTTCGTGCTCCTTGGACCTCTAGCACACGTCATTTACGTCCCTTTTGACTCCTTTAAGCCTCTAATCCACAAAAGCACTCTACTGTGTTTAACTCAGAGCCTAAACTGGCCCATGCTCTCTGACTTAGAGCAATGTTAATTTCAACAAATATGACTGACCAAGGATACAAGCACCTCTACTAGTACTCACTAGACACTTTGATTTCAGATACTCACACCAAAGAAAACACTCATTTTAAGAAATGCAATTGTCATCTAAAGTCCATAACAAGTCCCTTCTAAAACATGATTCTACACTTCAGGCAGAATGGCTTTACTAACACTTCATTGGAACTTACCCAGTCCAACAAATCACATAAAATTTTAATGAGATAGTATCAATTTATGTTCACAATTGAGACTCCAATTTAGTAAAGGATCAAATTCAACAGATACTTCAAAGAATTTTAAGTTAGGTAGGTATATTTTTGTGGAACAAGAATCTTAATCTTACAGGTTACAGAAAAAAAATCTGTAGACTGCACTGTTACTCCAATTTCATTGAAATAAACAGTTCTCAAAAAATCCCTCAGCTGCCAGCTTGGCCCTCTTACCTTTCCATCAATAGTCACTACTTCAGGCAGCCTTAAGTCTTGCTCAAAACTATGCATGTATTTAATGCACTGTATTAATGTTTATAAATGAAAACCACTGTGTTCCATTAAAGTTAAAATTCATTCTTATTTACAGTGTTAAATTTCCAGAACTGGAAAAAAAAGTAAAAAAAAAACATTTAAAATAATTCATGGTGTCTTGGCTGGAATGGATGGAGAAAAAAAAAAATAGTTAAGCGGTCCTGGGAATTTTCCATGAGGAGGAAGGAGACAAAGAAAGAAGACATACACACATAATTGAAAAGATCACCAGATAAAGAAAACAAAGCCTCTTTTACTGAGGCTTTGAGGATGCTGATGCTGAAGTAGTAAAGTCACAGAATATTCTCCCACCTGCTACCATGCAACATGGCCAACCCGGACTGCTCAGAGCACTCCTTTCAGCTGCATTCTGGTACCAGCAGTGAAAAAGATGTAGGTTGCTGAGAGACAGAAGAACACTTCTGGTGAACTGGAAGGAGAAAGTAAAAGAAACAAAGGAACAAAAGGGGAAAGGACTGACATCAAGGAGGAAGAACCAGGAAGACCCTAAGTCTCTCCTTACACATTCAGGGCTTTGTGGAAGTCACTAGAATTGGTGGCAGCAGTATTCAATCCCTCTCCAGAGCAACCATAGGCCAAAGTGAGAGAATCCTGCATTTCTAGGAGGTAGCAACCCTGATGGTAAAGCCACTTGTTCCTTCCAGTCAGCCTGTGCCTGGTCAGTACCCTCTAAAGGCTCTCAGAAACAATGAGGGGGTGGAAGGAGTCCATTTCCATTATTTTGACTAGCAACAGTGCAAATTTTAGTCACGATTAATTCTAATCCATTAGATGCTGAATCAATTTTGCTTCAGTTCTCCAGTCATGATCTCACACAGCTCAGACTTGTAACTGAAAGCTGTTTTATACTTTGCTGACATTTTTCTAATTTTATTTAAACAGGCAGAGTTAAACTCTTATTACCTTAAACAAATTAAAGCAAAGGCCACAGTACCACAGTGCCTTGACTTAAAGCACATTTCTTTTTAAGGTATAACAGCATTCCAACTAAAGGTCTTGTTTATCACCTCTCCCAAATAGAGTTCTAAGACTTCCCCAACGCCAGCGAACTGCTCTAGTTCTACCACCTTAATGTCACTGGTTCAGAGTGCACAGAATCACAGCTGAAAAAAACTATTAAAAAAATATTTTAAACGCCCAAATTATTTTAAAGCTCCTTCTGCTGCAAACTTTGGTCATATTCAGTTTTCCTTTAGATTTAAGTAAGTTCCAAAACACTGGAAAGGCCGAATTCTCCTTTTCTCGTTACCTAGAAATTTATTGTGGTGGTGGAAGTCGTCACACACAAAAGTAACCTCGGTTCCGTAAAAAACACCGAAAAAAAGTCTTCTCTCCCCGCAAACACACAGCTGAGAGCAAGAGAACACCGAGACTCGGCCTCACCCAACCACCGCCTGCCAACGGTCCGTAAGGGCCTCCAACGGCCGGCAGGACACAGAGCGGAGACAAACCCGGCGAGGAGGCCGACCCCCGGCCGGGCAGGCTCTGCCGCGCTGCCCTCCCGCCGCCGCAGCGGCCCGCTCCCCGCGCTCTCCTCTGCTTGATGAGAAATGTAAAGCTTGGAACTTCCCTTTTTTTAGTGAAGTAGTTAAACTAGGGGAAAAGTTGCTTTTGAACTACTTTTTTCTGGTTTGCTGTATGGTTTGTGTATAGTAGTGTAAGCTGAGGCCTTAGTCCTAAGTAAGCAGATTCTTTACCCAGTGGTGGAGAAGCTCACTGGTTTCAGTGAGGATTGATGGGGGCATGAAGACCTTCTGGAGATAAAAATGAAAAATATTAATGCTATTGGTGTCTGCAAATAGAAAATTTTTGTGCAGTAAAGTTTATTAAAGATAATAAGGTTCGGAGGTTGTAAGTTAATAGTCTAACACAGGCCATTTTTGCTAACTCACTGAAGTACATGGTGCTGTGATAGCTGGTTTTCTGTGTTAACCAAGTACTAAGGGTGTCACTGTGACAGGAGTATGGAGTTAATGACTGTTAATGATTCCTTTTTGCTTTGTTCTCTAAACTTCTGTCTTCAATTAACAAAATCTGTTCATAGGGAATGTATATGCTGTGTTTTCAATATATTTGTGAATATGCATTGAGCTATTTTGCATAAAACATATATGGCCTTTCATCTCAAAGTGCAAGAACTTCACAGAAACTTTATGTGGTCCTTTGCTGACACTGACCTTCCTCTAGGGCAAGGTATTACTAGATGCATCATACTTTGATTAATAATAACAGCTGATGTAAAGGAAATTTTTGTACTTAATCCAGAGCAGGAGAATTTTCAAGGTTAGAGATCCTAGTCACTCATGTTGTTCTCCATCCTCTCCTCTCACAGTTGTAGTAACAGTCACCTGAGATGAAACTAACTGATTCTGGTAGGCCAGATTGCTTTCTTTTTCCAAGCAAGTACAAGTCATGGATCAGGGAACATTTGTTATTTTTAACCTTGTTTTATCTACTATTACAGTAGTATACATATAACTGCATATGTAGTGGGTAAACTGAGGAATTGATTACTAGGCAGGTGGAATATAGTCCAGATTTCGTCTGTCATGTTTTATGGTTATGTCTGTGCAATACGCACACTTTGTCATCTTAATCAGTTTTATGCCAAAAAAATTAGCTGAGTTTCTGTTGGAATGTAGAGATCATATATAATTTTTGTTGTCCAGTCCTTTTACAATCTTCACATTCCCTGTATAATAGGACTGTGATTCACAGTCCTTACTGGATTTGTTCTGACAGCTAAGGCAGTTACTGTCCTGTAATTGTGGGAGGGACTCCATGTACTGCAGTTCAGTGTAAGAGGTATCATGAATCAGCCATCAGTTTTCTCATTTTACCACCCTACATTGTTGTGCTTCAGTGGTTTGCCTTATCTCTTTTCCACCTTTGAGTGAAGACCTTCGGCAGGGGATAAGGTTGGGCAGTTGAGAAAGGTAGATTGCAACCACTAAATCATGTAGGGATTAAGAATTAAGCCCTTTCTTCAAGGGGGATAGATTAAAAGATCAACTACATTAAATGATGGTGGGGTCAGTTTTCATTCTACATTAGTTAACTTACAAAACACAAGTAATTAGATGTTTTAATCTCCACAGCACCCATGCATGCATGGTGAGGAAGCTTTACAGCATGAAGGCGGCAATGCGGAGGCAGTGTTCTGCAGAAGAGGAAGGGCATTCTTGGGGTTCAGTAGTAAATGAAAAAAAACTAGAAACTGAGTTGAATGACTAGTGAGAAGAGCTTCTGCAAACAAGACTTCCTATAAAGAAGGAAGGAGGGAGTAGAGCTGTGATTCTTCAGCAGCTTCTCATGTGTGGAACTTTTGGGCTCATCATTATTTCAGTTCATGAGCTATCTTGACACCAGGGTTGTTACTCTGGTGTTTGTAGTGTTTTCCATCTCCTTCCTCTAACTGGGACTAATGTTTTTGATATTACAGCCATTGAATTTTTCAGCTCACTGGTTACAGTGGAAATATTTTTATTTGTATTGGTTTAGGTGCTGCCTTTCATCTATCGTGCCATTGGTTCAAAGCATCTTCCTGCCAGTAACATCAGTTTTGTTCACCTTGATTCCCATCCAGACCTCCTCATTCCTGTGAATATGCCTGCTGACACTGTATTTGACAAAGAAGCTCTTTTTAGGTAAGTCCTGGGTACTGCATCAGAATACTTAAAGTCTGCTTCCTGCTGCCTTTGATTTACAGTGAATATTGGTATGACTGCGTAGGACGTATGAACAAGAGAGGCATAAGTCAGCCGCAGGTTGCATCTTCTGTCTTTGCACTTTTTCTGAAGACTTTATTTTTTTGGACGAAAAAAGTTATGTTGGTGTTTTTTGAACGTGGTCAGATATTTAAGTTGCATATCAAGACATTTAAGACTTACAAATTTACTTTGTTTAGTTGTTTAGTATATCATGTTACTAGTCCAATTAGTAGTTCCTCTGAGTAACAAGACTGAGTGGATCCTTTATGTCTGAAGAGCTGTGGTTTTACAACAGCCTCTCTCTCTTCATATTGGAAAATTGACTTTGAGATTGAAATAATATCTCCTGTGTTGACATGAATATGTGAGGTTGAACAAACTTTTCCTATTAAGATCACTAAGATCAATATTTTCCCCAACTTCTCGGGTCGGTAACAAGCCACAGAGTGATCCTTGCCTATTGTCTCTCTTTTCCTGTTTTAAAATAAGTATCGATTGCTTCAGTGTTACGGTGATTTACAGCAATGACAAGATGATGTATGTAATTGCATCATGCTACCAGTAGTCAATATTTTGTTTTCTTTGTTGGATGAATAAGAAGTTTTGTGGGCTATATCATACACCTAAAAAAATTAGGTGTGGATAATCAGTAAAGTTGCTATTCTGTAGGTGCTGATGGACTCACTTTAATTACTGAGATTATATTTAAAATCTGCTTAGAGCAGTTTACAGTAAAGTACTCCCTTGAGGTCAGTTTGAAGTTATTTGAACAGTGTTTATGATGCTCCTTGTACTTTACTCTGTGTGATGTATCAAGAGAAAAAGGACAACAAATCCGTGTAGTTTATAATCAAAGTGCTATATGAAGAGTGCAGCAGATTGCACTCTATAATCCTAACTTTTAAAATTCTACTGTTGACATTTTTGTTCTGTCTTATGAGTAAAGATTACCTTCTTTTTCTTTCTTTTTTTTTGACATGAACCTTACACAGAGTGTTAAGATGACTTGCGTGGGGGCTTTCAAGATGTGGAAGATGTGTGTTATGTTCCTGACTGTGTTTTACTTACAGGGAAAGTAACAGTATTATCTCCAGTCTTTCTCCATTCATTACAGTGAATTAAGTATTGAGAACTGGATTATGCCTGCTGTTTATGCTGGCCATATTTCTCAAGTAGTATGGCTTCACCCTCCTTGGGCTCAGCAGATCTCAGAAGGAAAACACCATTTTTTAATTGGGAAAGACATATCAACAACTACAATCAGGTAAATTGTCTGCGGTCATATGTTAATAATATAAATGCTGTCTCTGTAGCTCTTCTTGGGTGGGTTTTTTTGTATTCTTGGATAAAGTGAAAATTTAATTTGTATTTGTGAGTCCCTTAGGACCTAGTATGACTATCTGTGTGCATGGGCACCATTAAAATTGTGCCTTAGATTTTTTTTTTTAATAGGAAATTCTAACTATTCACATTTCATTTCAACTACCCAAGTTTTCAATTCGTCTTCTTCATTAAAGGCAAAATCTCAGAAAACAATAATTTTTAACAGAGGGCAGCAATTAGATCCTACTCAGCCCTCCCTTATCAGGACAAAACAAACGCAGTTCCTTCAGCTTCCCTGTCGTGCTCCAGTCCTCTAATCACCTTAGTAGCCCTTCTTCAGCTTGTTGTCATCTGTCTTGTCCTGGAGGCCCAAACTTCAGCAGAGCATGTAAAATGTGGTCTTACTGGTGCTGAATAAGAGGAGAAATCTCTTTTCTTCCCTTGATGATTCTGTTTTTCTCATATGTGTTGGGGGGTGGGGTGGGGTGGGGTGTTGGTTTTTTTTTAAGTTTATCTACTAGTGAAGCACTGAAACAGGTACACAAGCAGACAGAGAATTCTCCATTCTTTGATAAAGTCAAAACTCAACTGGACAAGGTCCTCAGCAGCCTCATCTAGGTTTGAAGTTAGTTCTGCTTGTATCAGATGATTGACAAGAGACTTCCAGATGTCCCATCCTATCTTAATCATTGTGTGATGCAAGTTCCAGTGACAGCCCCTCATAATTCTGCGGGATGCAGTCAATGATAATTTTGCATTCACCACATTCACTGCATTGTGATTTTGTACAACTTGACTGGACATTTACAAATCGTGCCTCTTGCCAGCATATCAGAATAAATCTTCTGAAGCAAGTTTAACAGAAAGCAGCAGAGAAACGCTTTATCACCTAAAAACACAGAAGCTCTACAGTTCTGAATCTGAGGCCTAAAGTAAACATAAATAATAAAAGAAAAGCTAATGCTTTCAGTTACATTTAACCATGAGAACTAGCACACATACAGAACTACTTCATGATGGCTGAACAACTCTCCCACAGATCCTCTGGTCACCTTAGCAACCTTGAAAACATTATTTCAAGCTGCCTTTTGAAGGTGGTCAGGTATATTTTCTGCAGGTTCTAGGCTTACAAAAATCATGAAGGAAGACAGGGAAAGAGTCCTCAGAAATAAGAACTTCCTAACTGTTGACAACAGTGGCTGGATAGGCAATAGATACTTTAGTCTCCCACTAAGGGAAGGACAGTAGCATGAGCTTGTGTTGAACCTTGGAGAATTTCTGAGAAGAGGCCCTGTCAGTGCTCCATCAAGAAGATGAAGTTGTGATCCAGCCTTAGCAGGCTTAGGATAATCCAGCCATCGGACATGGGGGAACTAAGCTTCACATTTCTGCTGCTCATTAAATTAATTGTCTTTGTGATTGATTGACATGATACCCTGTAATCAAATAACGCCTTAACACAAGTGAGCAGAAGTTCACACTTCTTAAGCTTGTTTTTTAATATGAATTTATGATGCTTAAGGTTTAATGTACTGAAATATGGCTTGAAAATAATATTCTTTACATTTTCACTGTAAGCACAGTTTTTCATGTTGTTTTATGTTTGTTTGGTTATAATTAAATGTGTTCCATTGATGTGTCACTATTCATACTCAAGCTACCTCCTCTATCCCACTTAGAACAGGGAATCTGTATTGGTGGTAAAGAAAAGTTAAATGCTACCTATTAATAATATTTTACTTTTACTAAATTAATATCTGTGGGTTTTATGGTAATTGTCAAAACACAATTAACACAATTTCCCTTAAAAAATATGCAGTCCAAGAAAAAATATCTATAGCTTTGCAGTCTTACATACCATAATATCAACAGTATCTTGTTAAATTCTGAATGTTTTCTTTAAAATGCAGTTCAATGGCAAATTAATCTTAGTAGCACATAATGTAGAATCTTTTTCTTACCCATTAAAAACCTTGTAGGGATATCATAAAAAATATAGAGTGAATTTTAATATATTGATTCAGCAATAAAGAAGTATTGCAAACTTCAATTTAAAAACCTACAGATTAAAATAAATAATTTTGTGTACACAGTTTTATTGCTTTTGTTACCCATCAATAATCTATTCATTCTTCTCAGAATCCCTTAAGTGTACGTGTTTTTTTCTAAGCTTTTTGCAAAGAAGTGTATTAACTGTGAGTTATTGTCAATTGTAGGGTTACAGGTACAGATCATTACTTTTTAAGTGATGGTCTTTATGTCCCTGCTGATCAGCTAGAAAACCAGAAGCCTTTAAATTTACATGTCATTCTCATCAATCCTACTGAAGCATCAAACAGCCAGGAAGAAAATGGCGATGTAGCATCTGCTAAGAGACTGAAGCTAAATACAGATGACACAGCAAGCACTGCTTCTGCCTCTTCATCAGTGGCTACTGGTGACCTTGATCACAGCACCCCAAGTCTAAAGAAAAAGGAAATGCAGAATGCAAATGCCCAGAACAAGGCAGAAACACTGTCAGAATGCTCAGCTTCAAGCTCTCTCAGAAACAGCAAATGCCCAATAAAGGAAATAGTTGAAGATGTCTGCCAAGTACTGCAGAAAGGGGATGCATATGTTTTAGACATTGACTTAGATTTTTTTTCAGTTAAAAATCCGTTCAAAGAAATGTACACACAGGTAAGCATGACAATGGAAAGGCTTCTTACATTCACAAAAGAGTATCAGTCCTAGAATTTATGCCTATGAAGAAATTTTCACCTAAGATAGATCAGCAGATCATGGTGAGTGAATCATGACAATTATTTGAAGGAGAGACATTCTAAGGAATTGTACACTCCAGAGAAGTACAACAAACTAACAGAGGTAGAGCCTTATATTTTAAATAGGCATTGAGTGTGCATTCATGTTCAGATGTATGGCTCACTTCTGCTTGTTGCTTGGGACATAAAAGCTATGCTAGGGTTTCCAAAGGTAATGTTCTAAATACCCACAGCAAGATTCATCAGGGAAGGATGACAGATTGTATCATTCTTTACCCCCAAAGAGTGGTAACTTTTTCTGATGAGAGGCTGTTACTTTCATTTCCTCTGTCTGTATAATGGTAAGCAACCAACTGTGGTCTCTGATGCCATGTCTCTCAGCTTAAGACTCTGCCTTGTATTCCATTTATAACTTGCCTGCACAGCAAAGGTAGCCTACCTGTATCGAGTCATAAATATGCAGATCCTCAAAGGTGCAAAGCAGTTAGTAGCTTTTCTTGACGTGAACAGGATTTTTAGGAACTAACTAACCTGCTCTGAAAATTGAGTGTGGCATTTAGGTTTACAATTTTTTCTGCAGTATCCAGATCATTTGTAGCATTTAAATCTTTCTATAACCCTTATCTAACATCAGCCTGTGCTGAAGAACATCTGACATCTTTGAGTTTCAGCTAGGCTACTGCTTTACTGTGCAGAAGTGAAGATGCTTTGCAGTTCTGTAAAAATTGATTAGTCTGCCCTCTACTCCTGAAAAATTCAAGTGTTCACCTTTTGAATGCTGTTAAATAAATAATGAGATCTGTTTATCCTTGATAAACCTGAATATTATCAGGGAGTAGGGCTGACAAGCCTCTGTAATAGTTTCCTTGTGAACTTGGCCAACCAGCCTGAAGCCTTTACCTGTCTTGATTTTGTTTACAGTCATACTCTTCTGTTGGTTTTGTCTGCTTAAATTCGCTATCTCAGTTTTACTCAGCATCTCATTGGGACCATAGTTCAGCAAAATGTATGTTTAATTTCAGAGAGTCTTTAACTAACAGACTGTAAATATTTAGCTTTTGAAGCTGTGTTCTTGAAGTTAGGCTTAAAGTTAAGCAATTGCAAAATGTTTGGCTGAGGCCATGAAGTATTGCTTTCTCAAGCCTCACAGCCTCCCCACCTGTATTTATAGAGTTGTCTGCAGTACTAGAGTAGAGGAATTACCTTAGCGATCAGATTCTCTTTTTGTAGAAGGGGGGCTTAAGGATTTTCTTTCTCATGTGAAGACCCTAATTTTTTACCTCTTCTTTCTTTTTCAAAGACAGAATATGAGCTTTTACAAGAGTTGTACAGTTTCAAGAAGCCTCATAGAAATGCAACAGAGGTATGGTGTTTCCTTGTGGGATGTATGAAGCAATGATTCTTTTGATTTACCCAATAAAAATGAGTTACAACAAGGTGTATGAAAGGTGCTTAATGAAGTGGTCTCCAATTAAGTGATGCAGCATGCTAATCAGCAGCATCTTAGGAGTTCTTTCCTATTAAACGTTTTGGTTAAATGTGTGAACTGCATAAATATTTAGCATGAGTGTGAAAGTTAATTTCAGTAAACAAGTGGTAATTGACAAGGAAGAAATGAAAACAGAGTCATCTGCAGCCTTTTTGTAACTTATCAGGGCTATGGTTTGGGTGGGGTTTTTTTGGTTTGGGGTTGGTTTTTTTTTTTCTTCCCCCCAGGATCTTCCCTCCCTTGCCATAGTTGCTCTTCCTTGATAGTCTGAGCTGTGCTGAGTGCCTAACTAGTATTGTACCTATTTATTTAGATGTGGAAAGGACCATATTATACTGCGGTAATGTACTTTTCATTGTATGCATTGCACGCTTCTGAATCATGGAAATGTAAGCCTGCTGTAGTTGCCAAAACAGTCATTCAGCCACGAGCCCAAACCATGGAGACATGGTCACTACACCATGTAATTTCTAAACAAGATCTCGTCTTTGTTTTAGTAATCTCATCTGAGCACTATCACTGAGAGTGTAATATATTCAACACATATAATGATCACAGATTATTGAGTTCTATTTAATATGTGTGTATAAAGAAATGGAAATATGTGGAAGATTGCCAAATTCATTTTCATATTTGTTAGTCAATCAGCGATAAAACCAGTTACCTATTTAAAAGGTAGTTAAATGTGAAAGGGGTAAACACATGTGGTTTAAATTCCCAATATAATTTCAGGACATAAGTTATTTACAAAAGACAAGAAATTTATAGGAGGAAACTGAAATTGTTAGTAGACAGTGAGTAATAGATAGGCATAGAACTGAACAAGGCAAGAACAGATTCATGGATGGTTTTACAGTAAGACAGTCAATTTAAAGGGTTTGAAGGTAGAAAACTAGTGAACTTTGTGTTTTTCAGAGTTTCAGAAAACATTCTACATGTCTAGCTAGTCTCTTAAGATTCCAGAGTATGGTTACATTTCTATCACACTACAAGATGATGTTGTGTTGTTTTGGCAATTTTTGTTTGGTTTTGTCTTTTAAGGAGTATAGAGGGGGATCAGATGTGTCTTAAAGTTTAGTTACTGGTGATGCTTAGAAAACTGTTTTATTCATACCCCAGCATAGGATCATAAAGCTGTACTTCTACTCTCTCAGCTCCTCTTAAAAATTCGCCCAAAGTTGACATCACTGGCCAAAAGAAGCAGCATGTGTTAAGATAGAGCCAGCACAATCCTAAGAGGGAATTGTTACATTCTTAACTGTTATCCTTCTATTCCAAAGTGCTTTTTAATTTTCTTCACGCACCACTGCACTGAGCATTTTTAATACCAAATACGCCAAGCATTGCTTTTTCACTTGTTATGTAGGATCTCTTTCTGCAAATGTTTGCATGAACAATTGTATTCACATATGTAGCCTCCCTCCAAGAAGATTGCCTTTTTGTGTTCTGAACTTTTTAAGAAAGGGCATCAACCTTTGCAGGATCAGAGTAATAATTGACATTTTAAATTAATTCCATGTCTTTTTAGGCATGCGGAGTTGATAGAACCTCAAAACATCATTTTTTCTTCTGTTTTTCTGAAAATGCATTTTATTTAATATTTTTTTTTTAAATGAAAGATTAAATTTTCCTTTCATTACAGAAAGTTAAAGCTTGTACTCATCTGAGCATTTCAGTGCTGTAGAAACAAATCCAACAATTAGTCATATACCGTTTCTTACCTCTATATTCTACTGAAATGTAGACGTTGCTTTTTTTCATCTGTTGTAGGAAAGAGCAGAGAGGTGATTTATTCTGAAGGTATAACAGCTTCTGCAGACATTCATTCTGATCCTCTTGAAAAGATGTTTTGTAGTAATGAATCAGTTGTTTCTGATTCCCCACTTCCATTAGATCAGTCATTTCAGAATTGAAATCATAGGGTAAGCCATGACATTCTTACCTCTTTTTTTCATAATATACTTTTATATGTGCTTATTTAAAGGAGGGCTTGCTGGATTGTGTTGAAAACCGTGTTCATCAGCTAGAAGATCTGGAAGCAGCATTTGCAGATTTGTGTGACAATGATGATGAAGAGACACTACAGAAGTGGGCTTTATATCCTGGGTAGGAGATTTCTAAATTACTTAAAATGCAAAGAGTAGTTCAGGAACTGATTAGCCCAGCACTTTACTAACAGAAAAGGAGAGAGTCTGGACAGGATCTATGCAAGGTTACCATTTTTTATTTTGTTTTAGAGGAGAAAGACAAAAGGAAAGGCAGTCTGCTGTCTTGAGTGCCATGGTAGTCCTTCCAAGATCAGCCTTGTACAGCTTCATGCAAATTCTGTTCTCTGTGGAGGGAGGCATGTTTGGTGACTAAAAATTTAGTGATCTGTGTGCAGCAGATCTCTCAAAAAAGCAACAGGATATGGAGGTTATGCAGAAGGACTTCTTTGGTGATCCTGAATGTTCTGCTTCCTGTGGAAAAATGGAAGTGCATGAAAGGCTGTACCTGTGTCCATAAAACATCTCAATAGTATCCACTATGCTTTTAAACTAAATTTTTTAGTTGAAAAGAAACAGCAAGCTTTCCCTTGATAGGAAAATCACTCATTTTCCCCATCAAATGCAGAAATTACTGCCACACCTGTTTAACAGTGACCAACAGGGATTTCCTGTCATGTTCATACAGCTTTAAGCTACAACAGCTTCTCTCCAGGTCTGCCCTAAAAGAAGTGCAAAGAGGTGTTGCCAGAGACAGGTATATGGGCTTTCTAAGAAAGACATGGTGAAACAGTATAAAAGTATTGATAATTTCCATTTTTCTCAGGTGCAAGATGACACAGAGGGGCAAATTTAATTTCCAAGTCCCAGGCCTTCTTTTCTCTTCTTTTTTTTTTTTTTTTTTTTACCACTTAAGGTAAATATGTATGTTTCCAACTGTTTATGTAATATGTTTTGGTTTTGTTTTAACTCCAGAATGAAGCCACTTGTGCAACTAGTTCACAGTTTGAAAACCAGGATGGAAAGCCCAGACTATGAAATGGTAGGTGACTAGGTAAAACAGCAGAAAGTAGACAGATTTCAAAACCAGCTCCAACAGGGAGGGAAAAGATCATGGTTTGTTTCATTTCAGACTTGCTTCTCAGTTCAGGAGTTTGTGAGATTCTTTTTTTTTTTTTTTTTTTTAATGTGTTGTGTTACTTAGTCCAGCTTTTCTTTTTAAAGCTTCTAAAATTCTACTCTGCTTCTCTGTATTTAGGCAACAGTAATGTGATCCTTAAGGGCTGTGATGTCTCAGGCTTCTTCCTGTGAAGGAAGGTTTCAAATCAATAGGGTCTATTGATATACTTTATAGAACTTAAGATACCTATTTGTAAAAGATCAGACCTATCATCTTCAAGGGCTGCAGCACACTCTGAATTCACAGGAGAGGTACAGCATGCTGGAGATAATGAAATAATCCATACAACCTCCAGAATTTTATTATTTTTGTTTAAAGAACAAGTTAGAGAAAAAAGCCCAGCTCTTACTGCCTGAAGAGGTGTAAGTTACCTACTGGGCTAGGGATGGTATCTTAAAGATTTTTTACACAGATAGTCTGTATCAGTAATTCATCAGCTGAAATTAAATCTCTTTTTAATTTACATTTAGGTCCATCAGGCTGGTCTGACCTGTGATTATATGGAGCTTCCTCACCATGTTAGCACTGAAGAGGAGATTGAAGGCCTCATACAATCCATTAAAGTTCTACTAAAAGATATGCCTAAACCCACACTTGTGACAGTTGCTCGGTAAGACTATGTAGATACTTTCACTTTAAAATGCTCAGACTGTGCTTATAAAGCTGAATAATTTTGTCAATATAGCACTGGTTGGCACATCTTAAATGCTGTCTACATTGACGTTTGAAAAAGTTGATCATAAGGCAGTGACAGTATCTACACAGCTAAGGGAAGGTTCTGTGCTGATGGCTGGTTTTACTAGGTTCTAGAGTAGCTAGCATAGCTAGCACAGATTTCAAAAGCAGTGAAAGCATAATGGCTTAATGAACTTCAGCACAGGCTATGTCAAGCCTGTGATGAGGCCTTGTGTGTGTTGAGATTGATGGCTGTCACTGCGGTTCATACATCTCCACTACTTTTATGAATTGTGCTAATTAGAGCAAAGTCAGTTTGGACAAGCCTGCATGGGCTGAAATCTCACCTTCCTTACTCTCTTGCTCTAGGTTTTATTGTACTACAGATAGGATTTCTGTTTTCAGTGAAACTTCTGATAGAAGGGATTTTCATCTAATAGGCTGAAAGGGATTTATATTCTAGAAAGCTCTAGTAAAGCTTTGTATGGGGTAAAAGTTATGCTTCAAGGACTGTAAGGGTGTTATTTGGGAGAACAGGATGGAGATTGAGGCCAGGGATCTGTCCTGGGAAAACTTAATTTGAAAACCACAGTGTATCTGTTGACAAATCATTGTAATTTAATCACTTCAGAAATAGTAAATGTGCTCTTAAAGGGCGATCAACAAGCTGACATGAAATTGGTTTTGTCAGCAAGAAACAGTATGGCTAATATCTACAGTAAAAGAAAACTGTACTTCCTATGTCAGCTGCACGGTCATCATCCACTGTTGCAGAGAATATACAGAATCATTTATGTAGATCTTGATATATAAAATCCAAGAAGTGTCAGCTCTGCTTTTTTACTACTATTTGTTTGCAGTTCATTAATAGAAACTGTAAATAATGTTATATCCCAGGGATTGTGGATATTTGTTTTTCAAGTTTTCCTACCTGTTTTACTAGTAGCATTTGAATTTTTTAATCTTAACTTTCCCCAGTCCTTTATTAGATCATTTGCTTGAACTTTGCCTGCCTACATGTTCTGTGTCAGAGTCAGGAAGAGAGTAGAATTGGAAGGATGAACGGGTCATATTCTTAATCTGCTCCAGACTTCCTGTTCAATTTCAGGCAAACTGTTCCTGTTGAAAGCTGTAAGGAGATGCTATGCTTTGAAGGGATACTGGGAGGCAGAACTCACCACTGTTTGAAAGTAGCTTCAGCCTAGATACAGAGCACTCCAAGAATACAAAATGTGGTGATGGTGGTGATACTTGTATTCTCTCATGCTTTTTTTCAATTCCTTGTTACAGATCAAGTTTGGATGACTATTGCCCTTCAGAGCAGGTTGACATCATTCAAGAGAAGGTTCTCAATTTGCTAGGCTCGGTGTATGGCACTCTGGATGTGCACTTAGATTACTCAAGCACCTCATCTTCTTTGTGACCTTTCTTCATGTATTGCCCTCAAATGCAGTGAATTAATTTAAATTGCATATTATTTATGGTTGCAAGGGGAAAAATACTGTTGTTTCAGCAGGTGGCACTAGAACCCAAGCTGAACAAGAGCTAGTTTTGAGTTGCATTGCTTTCTCCAAGACAGCTGCATCTGAACTGTCACCTGTTTGGCTTTGTTCAGATTAGTTCTATGCTTGTTATTTTTACTGTCTTGCTTCTTAAAATTAGTGCAAGAGAAACAAGTTTTTGTCCATAAAAATGTATTTTTTTTCACCTGATTTCTGTGTCTGTAAAATATATATATATATATACACCTTCTTAAAATAAACTGATGTCTTGTATCTAATTACACTTTTTTTGATAGAGTTTGGTCATGATCCTCAGTTACAGTGTACCTTTAAAAACTTATCTGAGTAATTCTACTAGGACATTAAGTTTACACAGCAATCTTTCTTAACATCTGTGCTTGAGGTAACCAGGCAACCCCCTATCATTTCGCTAGAGCAGCTTATGGCTCTGCCCAATCCACAGAATATAATTTATATTTATACTCTCTTGCATTAATACCGTCTTATTTTGCCTTAGGGTTTTTCATTGGTGACTCAGATAATATCCCTACTGTATAGACATTGGCTTGGTATTTTCATTTTTGAGTATGAAAAGTATGCATGCATGTGGATGGAGCTAATGTATGGAGCTAAATCACTGTTTTCTTCAGAAACAAATATTGAACTTCATTGAAGTCAGCAGCAAAACCGTCTGTACTAGGTTTTTGCTCATTTCAGTATTGCTATTTGGAAAATAACAGTTTTAGAACCATTTAATTTAGAAAGCAATCTGGTTCTAGAGAAAACTGCCCCTTCCAGAGGAAAAAAAACAACACACCCACAGGATTTATTTGGGAATGAAACTGAAATGGGAAAGAGAAAATACCACCTAGAATATTGTCTTTTACTATAAATAAATTATGCTTGTAATTTCTTTTGAAAATGTTCAGTTCATTTGTTAACATTAGTATTTTCTCTGCAGATTTGTGCACTTTCACTTTTTTACTGCTTCTGCTGTTGATATAAATTACTATAGGTTGTAAATAGATGAAGTATTTCTTCCAATAGAATAAATTCCATGACCATGGACCCATTTTCTTCATGCTTATGCATTCTGTCAGAAAGACAGTGCTAGCCTTGGATCCAGGATCCATAACACTTCATAAACGGCCGTAGGTTACGTAGAGAAACTAAGTGGAGTCAGATCACGTACTGCTTGTGTAGTTTTGGGGTTTTTTTTAGAAGTAAGAGACGTGATTTGCTGGGCCTTAAATAATGTTGTGGAAAACAAACAAACAAAAAAATTGCATCAAAGGCGCCAGACCCTCCTGCGAGGTGGAGACTTAGGTTGGCCCCAGAAAGTAAAGTGTGCAGGGTGTGATAGCGCGGTTCTGCCTGGCTGAGATTCTGCTTCCATGTCCCAAAACAGAGCGCCTGCAGCACATCAGCTTCTGCCGGGTGCCGGTGCCCCTGCGGGCGGCAGCGCGGG